ATTTGATTTAAAAATCTCCGTAGGTAATTTAACTCCGATAAAAGCTTGAAGATTGTAAAAGTTGAATCTCTTTTTTTCTCAGTGTTTGAAATATTCGTCTTCTGGAAATTTTGGAATTGGACCTCTGGATATGAAGTTCTGAGATATTCAAATTGCACTTGGACTGCTCATCTTTGAAACCATGAAATTTGGAATGATTTGACCGGGAGAATTGAACTGGAATTTCAGAACTCTCATTTGTAGCATCTGCCTTTAAATTCTGAAAATGTTTATCTTTGAGAAAACGAAGCTTAAGAAAAAAAAAAAAAAAAGTACAGTGTACAAGTTTCTGTAAATCTGTCATTATAATTGACACAATATGTTGAGAATAACTGGTGATTACTCTGTTCCAGGATACGGAAGCAGCTTATCCAAGTCAGCATTGGACACGCACACCCATCTCAGGCAGCCTGGTATGTAGTAGGTAGATATTTTTGAGAAGTTAAAGCACTACACCTTCTTAGTCTACGGCAAAGACAGAAAGAAACAACTGTTAGGAAACCTTATTGTACTTCATTAATCTTATTAACGATTGCCCTTTTAATGAAAGAATAAATCCAATGAAGATTGGGACTGGGGTTAAAATAATTTTGAATGGTAATTAAAAGAATGACGGTGGGTACACGCGGATCGAAGAATTATCACGATTTACGAAAGAACGAGCGTTCACGCGTCGCTCAATCGGCGGCGATTTTACCGAAGTAATTGCACGGAATGACCTTCACGATTATTACGTTCGTCACTAATCACGCGAACCCCCTCGTTCCTGGCCCGACTTTACAGCGCCACGCCCAAAAATGACTGCTTCCAACTGATCAATAGCTTTAAATAAGTGGCTCCGAAACGGTCTCTAATATTTCTAGCCTATCATTACAATCTAATCTATATGAAACACTATACTATTAAATTATTTCTTAAAAAAAAAAAAAAAAAAAAAAAAAAAAAAAAAAATAGAAACGAAAGTTCCTAATTAGATTATTTTTACGTAACCGTAAACTTTAACGCAACTTGAATGAACTGAAATTGACTTTGAAAAAAATTTTCAAATTTAAGCTTATATCTAGTACACCAACAGAATTAAAGTATCATAAAAATAAAAGAGACATCTCTCCCTCGGTTCACGACTAAAACAAGTATTATCGCTATCGATTCGTGCTTCATTTACATAAGGTAGAGAGCAAACACAAAGTCTAGAGTCACGGTAAATCGGTGCAATTCTTCGTTCGAGAATAAACGGACAGTTTCTATCAATAAAAGGAAAGAACCAGATCCAGAACTTGAAACAGGGTCACTGATATCCATGGAACTCTCCATTTTCTTGGTCGAGCAGCTTCATAAAACGGCCGGGCCATGTAAGACTGTAAGGAACAGTGGCGTTTTCAGTATTTCTGCTGGCAGTTCCGGCTCGTCCCCCACCCTTTTAGTCTGTTCAGCAGATAAATGGGTGTACCGCGCCCCTTCCCCATTATTAACTTGTAAGTGAATTACCGTTCGATCGAAAGACGATCACTCCGCCACGCATTTCAGGGGATTCATCGGGCGAAACGACCTTTGAGGTCCAGCAATTCACCAGCTATCCCCATCGCGCACGTCCGTCCCCTATCATAATCGGTCGGAATGTATTTTTATGGGAGTCGAGAATCAACGGCAGCCAGAACTGTACAGTTTCTTTGATTCCTTTTCTTTTTACTCTGATTCACATCCTTGATTCTTCCTCTGCTGCAAGTTGCTTCCGAGTTGTTCCCTGGGAAATTTTACGTTGCGTACATTTATGTAGAAATAAATCGGGTACTTTGTGTAAAGTATTCCAATGTGATTGATATGTCTGAATCTTCTGAATTTTGTGAATGGAACTTTAATTAAATCATTTCAATCTCCTACACGGTCTGACTCGTCTAAATCAACTTAATTCCTTAAATTTTGTTGAATTTTTCTCAGATTTTCAATCAAACTGAATTCTTTTGATCATCCGAACTGACTCCTTTGCGTTCTCTGGATCGAACTGGCTTAAATCATTGCTTTCTTCAAGCACTCCAACTTCCAAAATTTCCTAAACTAAACTGAAGCAGACTATATCATATCGTCTGTATAAAATCGAACTAAAGCTAACCGAGCTAAACTCAATGACAAGTTTGAAGCTAACCATCCACGTAAATCACCAATCCCTTGCATCCATCAGTATGTACACACTACATCTACGAACGCTGTCTTAAGAAAAGTAAGAAACGAAGAAACGTGTAATATTCTGGTAAGGAGAGAGAAAAGATTGTTCTCTGCATCTGTCACGCGAGGGCCATAGTATTTTGATCATTTAGCTCACGCTCGGTCGGAACGCGATGCTCAGTTTAACAGTGTTCGCTCTCTCAGAAGACATTTGTGTTCGCCCTTTGAACTACTCCGTCGTTCGTTCCTTCAATTGAAATTATTATGATCCAAACGAACTCTATTCTATTGTAGGGTTGCGATTATATCCTTTTGTACGGTTGTAGGGCACTCGAGGTCTGAGCAGTAGCGAACGACGGTGATGACGCATTGTAAGGCTTTTAAAGGGCGATACAGGGAGCACTGGGAAACAACCGTGTAATGGATAGGTATATGTTCAGGGGAAATGCCGAGGAAAGAAGAAGAAAAAAAAAATAAATTCCAATCGACTCGAGTAGAAAAATACAAGTTTTTCTCTTCGCCCTTGTCCCTCGCTTTCGATGAATTTCCCCCTGCAATTACCCAGCAATTAAATAATTACGTACAAAGGCAAATTACGTACACTAACAACAAGGGAACATTTCGAATTTTTTTATATGCGAAGTGGATGTAGGAAAATGTGTCTTTTATTAGCGCAGCGAAAGGGTGAAAATAATCCTCAAACTTGGAGGATTGAGATATTACTTTCTAATCTTTAAGTAGGGAATATATTTATCAAAAATTACAAACTAAATCAGAATGCTCCCTTGTGAAACAAATGAAAGTCAATCGTATAATTAATTTTTAAAAACTCACCGAAATTGAATTAAGATATATTCCCTCTTACGTTCTTCTGAGAGTATTGAATCTGAAAAAAAAAAATAAAACGATTATTTAAAAGAAAAAAAAAAAAAAATGATCACTTTAAAAAAGAGCGG